CACAGTCTCTATTTATCCCACATTTTCAGTCTAAACAGGTAGAGGAACACTGTGTGTTTCATCACTTGCCACACTGGTGGGTTTAGTACTTTTCATAAAAATACACAAAAGTACTGATATTTATAGAGGTTTGTCTTTGTACTTCAGAAGTCATCACCTCATTTTTGTGATTCTGTGCTGCAGACAGCAAATCTTCTACAAGATTGACGTTTTGATCAAATGCACGGAAAGCATGAGTCATCAAAACATTGCGGGTTACCAGAATTGGCTTGAGATATTTTAGGGAGCTGAATATGAATAGACGATTGTTATTCTAACAGGAGACTGCGGACCAGTTCTTTTTTTTCTTTCCCCTTAGAGTTGACAGAATTTGAAATAAAGCAGAACTGAATAGCACATGCGCTAATGAGCTATGGAGTATGAATACAGTTTGGCTGCCTATCCCTTGGTATTTCACCAGCACATATTCTCAGAATTAGCCAAGAACTTGTCCTGTAACTGTCAGTTTAATGCTAAAATCTCCCCTCTCCACATTTTAAAAGGTTCAACCCTCTTCTTGTCTATCATGCCTGTCTGTTCCTTTCATGTTTCCCATTCCATACCAGCCTAAATTTACACACTACGGGAAGAAGTGATATGTCTTCTTCACGGGACCACATTCCATTTATTTTCTCACAGGAATGCACACTGAGGGGTTGCTTATGCTCCTGTCTATATATAAAGCAGAATGCAAGGCTGAGCTCTGAAAGCGCCAGCTGTTCAGATACTTAGAGTCCTCAGTGATATATGCTTGGCTAAAACTGAGATGAGCCCAGATTTAACTAATAATTCAAGTAATATCAGAGTCTTTGTACCAAAATGTATATCCAAAGTATTGGCAAACAGAGCACTAAAACAAAGAAACAAGAAAAATAATCTTTATTTATATTGATAGGTTATAGGTTAGGGTTTCGTAGATCTTAGACATTTTTTTACTCTGTCATCAGGAGTTAAAATGTAATCTGTAATGTATCTATCTATCCTACTAACTTTCTTCATGTCACGGTCCACGTGGCAGACTGTGGGGATGTGGAGGAAAATAGGACCCAAAATGCAGCACTCTTTGATGAAGGCAGTGCGTTTATTTACAGCGATGTAACAATCCAAACAACAATAAATCCCCAGTGCGATCCCGACTCCCGTGCTCTGTCTCCGTTCCTTGTGTACAGTCCGTCAGCTGCTTTCTTGTTTCCAGGGGAAACAAGTATGTTTCTTTGTATGTGTTTCACATACAAATATGTATGTGTTACAAAGGCAGCCGTACCTTTACATAACAGCAGACTGGCACTTACTTTGCACATTTACTGAGAACTGATGGAAAGTCACTCAACGATCCAGCGTCGAGGAGCTCTCAGCCGCACTGCTTTGTAGCTCCCCCGACAATGCTTGATCAGCTGCAGGTGTGTGATCATTTCCTCAGGTGTGGCCAGCCACCTGGCAGGGCACACCCACCAGGCCTGAAGATGCCTGTAAACAGGTGCTCCCAGATACACCTGCATCCACACACACACCCACACATACCTGCCAGTACACAGGCATGAACACAGGAACACCAGCAGTGCAGAAGACACACACATCAAATAATAATAATAATAGTCCACACTGCTCACGGACCCCGAGTCCACTTCATCCCTATCATCTTAATGACATCAATAATGACGGTGATTTCAGTCCAAAATTTACCCTTAAGACCTGATATCACTGAATTTCAGTTCAGCTCTTGTGTAATTTGGCATACCTCCACATTTGTCCAGTTTCCCTTCCTTAAGACAGCCACCCTCCCACTGAGACCATTTCTGATGAGGTTCTGGTTGAACAGATGGATCAGCTGAAGGGTCAGATGCATCTCTCAGGTTCTGTGTCAGGTCTTTGCTAGATTTTTCCCCCCCATTTCTTAAGGACATGACTTTCAGATACTGTTCATCTTATGTGAATGTTTTTTAAGCTTGCCACTTCTTTTAACCTTCATTTTTTCCAGTTTCCTGAAACTTGTAAGGACACATATCAAACCACCATATGCCAAGATTTTGGCTAATAGCTCCTTTTTAACACCTTCTTAGTGCTAAAAACTATTTCATCCCTGCCAATTTGTGTAATCATTGGCATTTTTTCTAGAATCGACTAAAGAAATACAAATAAATTGTGTTTTTGTGAGAGGATGATAGTAATAAAGTGCCTAAATGTATAATTTAAAATTGCTTTTTAAATAACTTTTTATTTTTTTAATAATTCATGTGTTTGAGGTATATTTAAAGGTATATTCTTTTCATTTCCAAAAATATTTTAATTTCAATTCAACACTAGTATTAATCCGATATTAATACCAGCATTGGTATTAATACTATCAATCCAGGCACATCTCTTGAACACTTGAGATCAGGGATGCGAAATCATGGGCCACGTACAACCCACTTTGATCTCAAGTGGGTCAAACCAGCAAAATTCCCCCTTCTGTCAGTGTAGATAGTACGTCTCATGTAGTTTTTCTACATAATAAAGAAATGCTGCTGTGGTGAACAAGCAAAACTGTCAGCACGGATGTATAAAATGGCAGAAAACGCTATGGTAGTAATTAAGATAAGATAAGATAAGTCCCAGAGGTGGAAAATTTGTTGTGTCGCAGAAGAAAGTGGACAGTGCAAAGTTACAGCAGCAAAAATTAAGAAAAACAATGGACTAGGATAAGATAAAACGAATAACATACTATATACAATAGAATTAAATACAATGTTGTCAGATAAAAAGTTACACTTAATGTTATTGCACATGTGTGGATGTGTGTGTTTGGTCAGCTGCAAAGTTTTTGTTGTTTGTTCTAATGTCAAAATAGTTCACATTAATTTACAAAGAAAAAAATTGTTTGGTTTCCTCAATGGACTCATGGATAGATATAGATATAGAGAGATAGATATAGAGAGATAGATATAACTATAACTACATAGTGAAAAAACAGACATTTTCTGTGTTTTGTTATTGTTACTTAATACACTCGACTAAATACTCTATTAGATTAGCACTCGGTTCATGGTCACATATTATTGTCTTAATATGTGCTGGAAGTTCCGGTCTCACTATATGAACATGACCTACTTTGAAACGCACAGGGTGACCTGTATTTTTCCCGGGATGAAGCTGATGCAACTCCACCCCGCCCATATTTCATAATCAAGCATCTCCATTGGTCAGAGACTCCGAGTATGTCTGTCGTGATTGGTCCTCTTTGATGTCTGCTGCTGCTCTGAGCTCACATGTGGGCTGAGAAAAAGGAAGCCACGTTGACACAAAAAAAACTGGTGTTTTTTGTGTGTTTTTTTGACACCGGGAAAAGGCGGTCACATCGACACTTTATATCCATCAACGCAGAAACATCAGTTGGAGCGTCTGGATAAGGTATCTGAGCATGTTTAATATGTATCCGCCATGTTTCTCAGTCATTTATGGGTGTAAATCTAGCTAACAAAAAGTTAGCTGGGAAGGGAGCTCAACGGCTAGCTAATGGCTTTATCATTTCAATAAGGATAACGCTTCATAGATTAACGCCCCCTAATAGTTGCTAATTGGTTGTGTAAGTCAGTATTTAACACTGAAAACATGTGAAATCGTGGTTTACGTGGATTTGTACACTGCAGACACAAACTCAGTGCCTTTAGTTCCGTGCACATTCAAATAAAGGCTGAGAGTATTTGTATGATATGCGGCATTTAGATGGGTTTTATTTAGATGTAAAGCTCACTGTAAATCAGTAACTGCACTCATATCCTGCTGGAGTCAGCCATGGGTGCTGGAAGAGTGTCAGATGAGTCTTTGGCCATCATTTGTTGTCCGGGCCAGCTCCAGGACGTTTTCTCTCTGCTAGTCAGGCGTAAAATGTGAAAAGTCTGGTGGACTGAGATGACTCTCCCTCCTCCTCCACTGTAGGACAGAAGTGCCACATCATGAGTGTTGGATTCATTGGAGCGGGCCAGCTGGCTCATGCACTGGTGAAGGGCTTCACTGCTGCAGGTGATATGAGTCTTTTAGCTCTTTTTCTCCACTTTGTCCATCTTTCTTGTGACTCTGGGCCTCAGTAAGGACTTATTTTACAGCTGTTATTTATTTCTCTGCTTCCACCTGTCACCAGGTGTGATCGCCACCCACAGGATTACAGCGAGCTCCCCAGACACAGACCTGCCCACGGTATCGGGCCTGAGGGTGAGAAGTTTCCACATAGTTATTGTGATATCACCTGTCCTTCCCCGCCTCTTCACGTCTTAACATCTGCAGTTTTCATGACAAGTACCCCTGTCTTTTTTCCTCTTTTCCTGTAGAAAATGGGAGTGAACCTGACAACAAGTAACAAAGAGACCGTCAACAAGAGTGATGTGCTCTTTTTGGCTGTAAAGCCCCACATTATCCCCTTCGTTCTGGATGAGATTGGGCCAGACATTGAGGACCGTCATCTCATAGTGTCTTGTGCTGCAGGTGTTACCATAAGCTCCATAGAAAAGGTGAGCATTGGTCTCTTAGTTCAGTTTTTCATTTAAAGGGGCTGTACCAGCACTAATAAATAGATATTAACTAAAATATGAATAATGTTGCCTTAAAATCGGTATTTACAGCATATTCTCTATGTGGATGATTGCATGTTTGTAATTTTCCTGGGAGTAAATTTAATAGAGAGACCATGTTTTGAGTTAGGTTTGATAAAGTAGGTCTTTGTTGTACTTTGAAAGGAGGAAATGTACACACTTAAATGCTCCAAATGTGTTTTACATCTCCTGACTTGTTTCTTGCATATCACTAAGTTAAATTAAGCTGCTCTGGTGTGATTTCAAACACGTCTCATTTACTGACATCGCCTACATTTCCTATTAATTTTACAGAAGCTGCTTCAGTACCGCTCAGCTCCTAAAGTCATGAGGTGTATGACAAACACTCCAGTGGTGGTGAAAGAGGGAGCTACAGTGTATGCCACTGGGACACATGCAGAGGTAAAGAGGGATGAATCGCCTCGTGTTTATTGTCAGAAAAGATAAGATGTATGATCAGGTAGTGGGATTTCAGCTTTATTTTAACCCCATTAACATACATTTTGTCACTGTGGCATTTTTATCAAGGTGGAGGATGGGAAATTACTGGAGCAGCTGATGGCCAGCGTAGGCTTCTGCACGGAAGTGGAGGAGGACCTCATTGATGCTGTCACCGGTCTGAGTGGCAGCGGACCTGCCTACGTAAGTCACTTCGGGGGTGGTTTTGTTTCCCGGAAGGATGACTGTAAAGTCTGATGGATCCAGGTTTTGGCTATTACAGTGAGGCCTGGCACAGATGAAATAATCTGAGTAATCCTTCATCCTAAAATAGACTACATTGGAGCCTGGTGCAGAATTCATTCATTAAAGAGGACCTGTTATACTCATTTTCTATTCTAGCCCATTATGACTCTGCTAGAATAGGTTTTTGTGCGTAAAAATGTTTCTGTGCCTCCAAAGAAGTTTTAGTCTTTCCCAAATAGAAAATTTAACAGCAATCTGATAAACGTAACCTTTAAAAAAAAAAAAAAAGTTATTCTTGTTTTATTTGCTCAAGGTTAAATACATTATCTCCAGACAGCCAGTAGATTTCAGGTAACAGTGACATCTTGACTATATGTGGACATGTGATGCATATGTCGGGTGTGAGCCCCCCTAAGGACAAGCTTGAGCCAGGTAAAGGGGTTCAGTTAATTATTAATCAGTTATTCCCTTTAAACTGTGCTTTTATCTAAATCCTCAGTTCACCCACTGTCTGAAAGGAGCCGTTTTAGATCCCTCTTAGTTAAACAAAATCTGGTATTCTCATTTCCAGATCTCTATTTCTTTCTTATGGGACTCCAAGTAGTAATAGTTATGCATGATGGAAATACAAAGTTTGTTTATCAGGCCCTCTGTACAGTCTAAAAAAAAAACAAACCTCTTAGCTTCTGGGCTGAACTTTTGTAATCTGTATATAATCAGTATAAAACCAGCCAGACAGCGTCGGCCGCTGTGCCAGACTGAAGACACAAGTGTACGATCATGTCAGTTTTTATCGCAATTTCAGTTATTTATCAGTACAAATGCTTAGAGATTTACACATTATACAGAGGGAGATGTTGCAACACTTTGAAAAGATGAGACTTCCTGGAACCAAAAACAACTTTGAAAAGAGAAAAAATGTATTTGGTTCCAGGTCTGACTTCCTCCCCTTTTTATACCACCAATAATGTCGAGATTTTGTACTATACTACAGCGAGTACTCGCACCCTCAGCACTGGTATTTATGATACAGAGCAACATCACTGTAAACATAACACCTTTTTAAAAAGTGTGTTATTGTTTTATTTGCTCGAGCTCCACTCCAGCTCCTCTGCAACCCTGAACTGGAGAAGGAGAAGAAAATTGATAGATGGGTAATAGATCCCCTTTAAAATTTTGCAGCATCCTTCGTCTTACAGTGTGTCTTACGAGGAATTTATTTATATTTTTATCAAACCACCCTCTCCATTTTGCACTGAGCTACTGGGATTTATGTGGATTGATGCAGGAATGATCTGATACGCTGTATTTTTCGAAGACTGGTTGCTATTACTTCTGTTTATCTTCAGCTGTCAGGCTTCACAGCCTGGTCTGAAACTAATCATTAGCCTTTGATAAATTATTTAGTCTATAAGATGTCAAAAATAATGATGTGAAGCGTTTGATTCATGACAGGATGTTGAGAAAAGTAAGCACTTCTTCATAGATGTAAGCAGAAAATGTGTCTTTTTCTGATTAGGTTGATTCAAGAACACATTGTTTTGGCTTCGTACCTGATAGTCACGACTGCGCTGACTGTTTAGAAACCTTTGCGTGTTCACTGTTTTTCAGTGACTGGTAATATTGTGCACATGGTCTCAAGCTTGAGGTCTAGATAAAGGAAAAAACATTGGCAGGTGTGTATGTATATATCCTGTCCATATAAAGGACCTTTCGTGTTTGTGCTGTTGTGGTATTTTTGGGCAGTTTTGTCATATCCTGTCCTTGGTAATTACCTGTAGTGCCACGAGTGTGTTTCCAAATTTCAGTCCTCTTTGCTTTCGAAAATGTCACATCAAATTTCGTGTGTAGCAGGCCGATGTAAGCACTGGTGGAGGAAATCAAGAGTAAATGTGTCTTTGGCTGATGTCTGCATAGAATCTGAGCTTTAGCAGAGATCTTGTAAGAAAGCGCACTTGAAAAATCCTGACTTGAAATCTTTGCAGATTTTCTTTTTCTTCTTGAATGATTATGTTGGTGTTAGAAGTAAAACGTTCATGGGGAAAGTGGTGTTTAAAAACTTTTGTAGATGTTTTGTATTAGATTTGAGTGTTGATTCTTTACAAGCAGTTTAATTCCAGTGATAAACAGAACATAAAAGCTTTAAAGTTACTTCCAAAATGAGTCACTAGGGGCGTTTAAAAAGGCATGCCTTTGGCACGACTTGCTTGTAGTGGGACTCTGGCTTTGGGCAGGTATTTCTAAATACATTTGAAGGGCTCTGAGGACGGTGCAGCACCGTCCAAAGACATACAGGTTGATTGATTAATCCAAATTGCCCATAGGTATGAATGTGGGAGTGAATGTGAGTGCGAATGGTTGTCTGTCTATGTGAGTTAGCCCTGCGACAGACTGGCGACCTGTCCAGGGTGTACCCTGCCTCTCGCCCTGTGACAGCTGGGATAGGCTCCAGCGCCCCCCATGACCCTGAAAAGGATAAGCGGAAGTGAATGGATGGACGGGCTCTGAGGATTATTTTCTTTTTTCTGTGCTGGCTGTTCAACAGCATATTGTAAAAACTAGTTCTGGGAGAGCATTTAGTTTCCTGCCTCACACTAGACATATTTAGTGGAATGTAAAGAATAAAGGAGAAGCGTAAGAAAACTAATCAGTAGCTTAAATTGATCTCTACCCTCACTTGTAGTTTGTTGCCCGTCATTGTTTCCTTCACCATCCAAGAAGTCAAGGCAGATGGTTGTGTCTCCCTGTTATTCATTCTGCTGTTAAAAGGGAGTTCTTCCTCCCTACTGTCGCCAAGTACAACTCACAGTCGATCTTCTTACCTTATATTATAATGCACCTTGAGATCACTGTTATGAACGGATGCTGCAGGAATAAAACTGAATTGAACTGTGAGGAAAAAATAACATTGTGCAGTGCAACTATTGCCTCATGTCTTCTATTGTTGTGGTGCTGCTGGCCAGTTTAGACCTAGTTGGATACATTTCTGCCTCCCAAAAAGATTTTCCCATGGCACTGGATGATTTGCAGATGAAGCTTGCAGACTGTGTCCACCAGGATTTTATTCCTTCCTCAACTTTTTCTGCGTACTGTTATGTAACATTGTATTTCTCAAATCTGTTGAAATGTGGGGTGGCTCTCAAAATAAGCCAAGGGAGGAATGGCTCTGGTCTGAAACGGGCCAGGTGATGTTGAATTTTTGTGATGGGTTTAGATGCTTTAAAGACATGTTGATGACTTTCTTGTTGCTTAAAATAATAGAAAATGTTGTGTTTATACAGGCGTTCACAGCCCTGGATGCTCTCGCAGACGGAGGAGTGAAGATGGGACTGCCGAGGAGGCTCGCTGTCAGACTTGGAGCTCAGGCCCTGTTGGTCAGTAGTGCTAAATCTGTGTGTCACATTCAGGTCTCTTCTGTTGCACTTATTCTAAATATTAAGTTTCCTTGATCTGCTACGCTGCATGTTTGGAGGCAACAAAATTATTAAGCTTGAGTTGCTGTTTTCAGTGCATCCAGCAATTTTGCCGTCTGATAACTGCTGACTTTTGTTCAACGAAAAAATAATGAAACCCAAGAAAAATAAACACCTGCGGGGCACTCGGGCTTGCCAAAAGAGGAGGAAAAGAAGAAGAAAAGGATAAATTTTGATCCTGCAGCTCTTTTTCTGCAGGGTCTGCACAATTTTTAAATTGCTCTTTTTAACATTAAACTTAAATGTAGTTTGATTCTGTTTATACGGCGCTGTTGGGATGTGATTAGGCTTTGGCAGTTTATCAGAGACATTACTGGAAATTACTCATTTCAGTTTTTGTTATCATGGCAGTTGCTTCAGGCTTCGTGTGTGTGTGTGTGCGCGCGTGCTTACAAGTTAGATGTTATTATGAATTGTTTTCTACACATTACTTGAATGGGCTGCACAGATACATCTGGGGACTCATTTGGCCTTTTTAAAAAATAAATAAATAAAATAAAAATTTATCTTTTTTAGCCCTTTAGTTGAACAATAGCATCCACTGTTGATTTACTCGAGGATAACTCCTTAGTCTTTTATTGGATGGGTTAGCCCATTCAATATCTCATGGTTTTGTTTTGGGGTTTTTTGGTGGTGGGGGATCTTTTCACCGCTGACTCGCTGGCGGGGGGCTATTGTGTCGATATCATGTAGCTGCTTCTTCACCCCATGTTTGGATGGGCTCCATCTCCTTTGTTTTATATTGCAGCTGGCAATGAGCTCATTTGAGCTCCTAACCAGAGCTTGGTTCTTGTGCTGTTACCCTGAGCTTTGTAAGGCTGCACAGCAGAACAAGGACTGCTGTTGACGTATGCAGCACCAAGACGATTGTATTCCAAGTTATGTATTTTTGGGGGGTGAGTTGTTGTTGTTTTTTTGTTTTTGTTTTTTTTTTTTGTTTGTTTGTTTTTGTAGCCGTTATTGTACAGAAAGTAGGGACAGAGCCGGGAGGAATGACATGCAGGGAAGAATCAAATCCCGAGCCCCTGCAGCATTTCAGCGTACGGTTCGCTCACTCAACCACGAGAGTTAAAACGACACAGAGTTTGTGTTGAGCTGAAGAATTAGAGACAGTTCTTGGATTGATGGGTAATGATATTGCTCTTTTTTTTTCCTTTTTTCTTTTTTTTTTTTAAGTGGTGTTAATTTGTTTCTTACTCAGTAAATTAAGAGAAATGGTAACCAACCAATCATCCGAGGTGTCATTCAAATATTCGCTGTACACCAGCATGGTGCCGGAAACCTATTTGGCTGGGGCCATCAAATGTGATTCTGCATTGCATACGTGCTCCATTTACAACAGAAGTGACACAGGATAAAACAGATCAGCAGAATTTGCAAACGATAAGTGAGAGAAGACGCTGAGAAGCAGGAGGTTAAAGCTTCACAACCCCTAGTGGCATACAGAGCAACTTTATTATTTGAGCTACGCCTCAGACTTTATTCTCTTGTCCATGCTCTATAGAAATGGATGCCAACACCTGCACTGTTTCTGCAATACCTCCTTTATTTTTACATATTTCTCATGTCCCCGTTTCACTTTCAGGGAGCAGCAAAGATGCTGCTTGAGTCGGAGCAACACCCCGGCCAGCTGAAGGACAATGTGTGCTCACCAGGGGGCGCCACCATCCACGCCCTGCACTTTCTGGAGAGCGGTGGCTTCCGTAGCCTCCTTATCAATGCAGTGGAGGCTTCTTGCATCAGGACACGGTGAGAAAATCAGAAAGTTGTTAAAAAAAATGTAAAAATTGCAACTGTATATTTCTCAATTGACCCATTTTCCCATTCACTCCACGTTTAGTCCTGACTCAGTTTTGTGACATTTTTAATTGTGTGTCTGTCTTTATCCTTTAGTTATAGTTATCATGGCACACACAGACAACCTTTCATTTTTACTGTACTCCTGACATTAGTATTTCTCTTGTCCTCGCAGGGAGCTGCAGTACCTGGCAGACCAGGAGCGCATCTCTCCAGCAGCGATTAAGAAAACCACGTTGGACAAAGTGCTGCAGCAGCCTGGAGTCACAGTCGGTGGAGTGGCTAATGGGAACGGCAAATCAGGGCTGAGCTTATTCAATAATCGCGGCTCTGGGCTCAAGAAGAAGAACTGAGTACACAGAGTGGCAGACACACACACACACACACAAAGACACACAAACATGTTACAAGTTTAAGTGTGCCGGCACGTGCACATGTGGACCTTCATGCTGTACATCTATTCAGCCATAGAATTTCAAAGACCGACTCAGGACTGCTCCGAAATCGAATCCAAATGACTTTGCAAAATTATTTATTGATACTTGATTGACGTGCGGACAGCGGACCTCTTGATGACATCGCCACATTACACACAAGCACAGATGTGCTTGTGCACGCTGCTCACAGTTATCGCCTTATGTTGTGATGTGGGATTGCTGTATGCATACACTCACTGAAGAGCGAAAGTGCATTAACAATCTGTCTGTCTGTGCTTTAGCTCTACGGTCTCTGGGGCTGTTAAACGGTAATGACCCAGTGGGCCATCATGAGGTCCTGGTGCACGCCAGGCAGCAGATGGTTGCAACATCAAGCTGTTAATGTACGTCTTAAATGTGTGTCTTTAAAAAAGAAATGAAACCATGTAAATCATCATGTACCAAATAATTATCATTTCTCTTTGTCTGACAGTGTTACGAAGACTGAATGCAGATGGAACAAAAATGTTAACTTTTTTTCTTTGTTGTCTGTCACATATAAACACTTAAGGACATTCAAAGATCATTTCAAACTGTTATACCTCTGACTTCAGCATTGCTGTGCTTTATAAAACCCAAAGGCACTAATTAATGTATTTTTCTTTTTTTTTTTTTATATGGAGAACAATGTGATGTTCCTATATGGACGGGCAACAAGAAAGCTTAAATCATCTACACAATGCATCACAGATCATATGGATTATAATGGAAAGGTATTAGGCTTGCAATCAGCAGGTCCTGTTTACTTCTGTATTGCTCTCTGAATTTTTACCCCCATAATGTTACATATAATGTCTATTTTACCTGGTGCATCAGCCACTGAATTGGTATGCAAGTCAAAAAGTCGATATTAAAGAAACAAAATCTGTTTTCTTTGTTCATCCTCTTTTCTTTTCTCTTTTTTTCCCTTCCCTGTTTCCCGAACGCCATTATGCATGTTTCATTTTTATAGTTTACGCTTATGTCCATTAGCTGGTAATTAATGTGCACCCTGGCCTCCAGATGGCGTCCTCTGATCAATGTGACCCATTTAAGCGCGCCTGTAAAGATCAAATTACCGTCTTCACGCTGCTGCCTGTTAATAGAGGCTTAAAAATCAACCTTAATATAGCATCAAATATAACTAAACCACCTCCCTTATTGGAAAAGAGCATTAGCTGTAGTGCTACAATTACATGTTTTATACAATCTCCATTCTAAACTCTCCCCGTGTCGCGTATCATGTCCTCTCGTAGGTCACCGCCTTCTGAATTCTTTCCCAATCAGATCTCTGTGTGGTAAATTTAGACCTTGTGTGTGCTTTAAATAATGAGAGGTAGACCGGTGTTTCCTTGCTGGCCTCGAGATGCATTGTGATTGGTTGTTTGAAGAGGAAACACACTCCAATTTTAGACACCTTCTGTTAGCAAGACTTATGACCAAGGGGTGGGGACGTGGTTTTTCTCTCCACATTCAGTCCTCGTGTGTCCTTAGTCCTCGACGAGATCAGAGACATGAGTGGGGTGGAGCAGGTGATGTTAGGCTACTAAAAGTACCACTTAAATCTACGGAGGACCAAAACTGCCAAAATAGAAAAATAAATAAATAAATTCTCAGTGAGAAATAGTTTTAGGATTAAATGTACCAGATATACACAAAGCTATAAACTTAGACATGAGTTTATTCAAAAATGTTGAATAAATTATTTTCGAAATATTTTTTTTAGTGAATCTCAACATTCTAAAAGACTATTACTGATTTATGAATGTGTAAATGTTTAGTGTTTATTGATGTGGAGCTTGTTAGATTGATCAGTTCAGTGGTTCCCAGCGAAGCGTCTAACCAGAAAGCGGTTAGCTCTAGGAGGTCATGAGATATTCTGTAACAGTTTATCACCCAAAAATCTGCATCACTTGTCAGATTTCCCTGTATTCAGAGAGTGGCGCAAGCCCTAAACTGAATTCACTTTTCGTGCGCGTTATTAGTGTAGTACTCATTTTTTCTGCCTGTGTGTGTATTTTGTGAAGTTCTAATTTACACTGCTGTTAGTAACCGGGTTGGTTATTAGTTAAATGAATTGACCTGTGTTCAGAAATTGGATCACTCTTAGACGATCCTCCCAAATAACCTCAAACTCCCATTTGTGCTTTTTCTAGTGATTCCCCCCATACAACCAAAAATGAAGCCCAGTTAATACTCATAGAACTGGAGTTACGTCCAGTAACTATTTTTCAAGCAGAATTTCTTTACAAAATATTTGTTTTTGATGGATGATGCTCCCATACAGACAATTTTAACCAATAAATAAATTCTACACTCATCAGTTATTTTATCAGGTTATTCAGCTGTTCACCTTCTTGTTAACACAAATATCCAATCAGCCAATCACATGGCAGCATCTCAATGTATTTAGGTATGTAGACATGGTCAAGATGAACTGGTGAAATTCACATCGGGGCCATGTGGGTATTAGATGCCTCGGTTTTGTGTTGTGTTTTGTCCTGCAGGAGCTAACTGGAGGGTAAAAAGCCTCATAAGTTCTACACTGGCCCAGTGAGTTACTCCTTCCTGCAGACTCTTACCACCGGCTGCTCTTTAGTTTCTTTCTTCTGTTTTTTGCAGACACTGCTACTCATCCATACATTCTTTGCATCACTGTCTTGCCCATAAATGCAAGTTCTTATAAGTCTAATAAGTTTTTAAGTAAATGAATTCCCATGTTTTTAAGTCTCGTCTCCCATTCCTTGTCACAGTCTGTGAGGTCCACTGTGACATGAGTCAAGCATGCATAAATATAACAGTGAGTGACCAAAATAAATTAACTCTTTGGCTTACAGAGATTTTCCACAAAGAAAAAAAAATGAACAGGACATTATTTTCTTTGCCACCCAAATGTAAGTAATGGTTTCAGGCTGGAAACCCCTAGAAAAATGTTCTTGCATGTGCTAATTTGCCCTGCTTAGTAATTCTGGCCCTAAATATCGAGTTTTGAATTAGCTGATAGAAAAGGGCAGAAGTTCAGGTGCATTTGGGGAAATTAAGAGACAGTAGCTACTGCAGACTTCAGGTCTGTAAAGTACTTTTCCGATTTTTGGGCCCATCACTGCGCTCCAGGCTGCTACATTTTGGATTAACAAATGGCACTTTGTGTTGGAATGAGATAGGCCTGTGGGTGTATTCAGCCAATACACAGGTGCATAATGGCGAAGCAAAATGATGGAAGAAGGGTGATGGTTTGTGAAGAGCCATGTCCTCATTATAATTGAACAATTTATAGCTGTTGTAGGATTAGTTTATTTTCCTTAAACTAATACACACACCAGTGTCCCTTGATTAAATTGCGTCCCTCATGCTCTCAGCGGACTCTGGCTGTTTATTTGTGCGTGCAATGGTTTTTCTCTGCCGCTGAAGTGTCTTGGTAATCCCTCTTTTATTCCGTAAGGTTATTCTCCGCTTGCTCCCGCCGCTGTCCGTTAAGATTAGCCATTCCTGAAGAGACTTCCATTTGCTTCTCATTATTAGACTTCTGTTACCTTTCGTTGGTCGGGCGGCTTTCGGCGGCTCTCTTCCACCCAAGGTGAAGAGGATGTGCTCTGTGTCAATCATCTTGACACTGGCTGAGGGTCTAAGATGGCAGTTCAGTAGTAGTTAATCCTGAGTGGAAAGTTTGTGCATAGTGTGTGTGTATGCGTGTGTGCGCTCTCGCTCAGCATGGGATTTCTGTCCACAGGTAGGCCAGATGCTACCTGTCATCCCCATTCAATCAGTGTAATCACTGACCTTTGCAGTAACACGGTTGTTTGCATATTGTGTCAAGGCCAGGAGGAGTGCCAGAAACCAAGAGGAGTGGATAGATGGAACAAACATTCATTTAATCCTCTCCAAAATGATAAACTCACACAGACAAGCGAGTAAATAGGTGTTTGTTTTTCAAGTTCCTCTGTTTTTGCTTTCTGTGCACTCAAGTGTGGTGTCAGCAATCTGTGTGTGCAAGTGTGTGTGTTTGTGTGTGATCTGAGAGCTGATACAGTATCAGCTTTGTGCAGCTGTATGGTGAAACGGCCCCAGAAAGAGGAAACACTGGCGGTTATCACACAGCCAGTGAATCTGCAGTATGGGCTTCCCTCTATTGCCAACTTGCAAAGTACAGAGCGAAAGGATTCCTGGAAACGCTGACCTTTATTTACCTGATACTTATCAAGGAATCAGACAGGTGCACAGGTGTGTACATGATGTACCAAAAGCATTGATCAACCAGCTTTTTAGCACCCTCTCTACGGTTTTAGCAGTATTATATAGAAGTACACTTATTTGTTTTTCATGTGTGTTGTTCTCATTAATAGCTTTCATATAGAACAAGAAGGGTAAAAACAGATAAAAATGAAAATAATCAAAATTACTTCCAATTTTACTCTCACCCTGTGGCTTGCAGGGTTGTTGTTTTTTTTTCATCTTTCCTCTCTTCAGAAGCTGAAAAAAAGCCCACTCCAATCCATTTTCTTCTGCTTATAAAATTCAGGGTTGTGGGAGGTTCTGGAGCGTACCCCAGTGATCACGGGGCAGGAGGCAGGGTACACCCTGGACAGTTCGTCAGTCTGCTGCAGGGCTGGCACAGAGAGACAGACAACCATGCGCACTCATATTCACACCTACGGTCAATTAACCTAACATGCGTGTTTTTTGAACTGTTGGAGGTTTTTTGTGCTCCCACTGTCAAGACTCTCATTCTCTCATTCTCAATAATACATTTCAAAATCACATATTGTGAAAGCATAGGGTTAGCAGTTAGAGGTAGGGTGCTTCTTACAACTACTTAGTCATGGTTAAATGCATGAGTTAGTATAATCAGTTACTTTCCACCACTAGCTTTGTGGTTCAGGCGTTCCGTTTTTGTGTGGCTCCAAAACCAGTGGAGGAGCAAGTAGGTAAAGCTTTTAATTAAATTAAAAAATAATGAATTTTCATTATGCAGACTAGCTTATTTCACACAAAATATACATATAATAATGCTGGATTTGGATTAGCATAATTTTAATATTTTTTACTAAGAGTGGGGCTGCTTCGACATATAAAGAGCATTAACACTGTGTTTTTCCTTGATATCCTATACAAGGGCTCACATTTTCGTCAGCAGTCTTGGCATGGGTAGCTCTTAAATCAAATTCTACACTGACCTCATGTATATATTAGTCATTTTCATAACAACTCACCCCCCACCCCCCATTATTATGTTCACTTTCAGCAGCCTGGTAAAGATTTACTCCTCAAAGGCCTGTGCACGGCCAAGTGGAAATAATCGGTCAATGAATATGTAATACCAGCTATCCCCTATAAACTGAGTGGCATTATCTGGAAATAGGCTGCTAATATTGGCAGAGTGCTTCCTTGTCTTGCATGTGAAGTCGTTAATTCCTCAGAAATGCTAATGGATATTGATATACTAATGTACATCAGCCCTTAATTTTGTTTGTACTGTAAGCGAGGATTGGTAGCTCATGGCTGTTTTATGTGTTACAAAACAGGGAAGGAAGTGTTGCATGACTCTGACTACTGGTCAGACAGGTGCTCTTCTGCGGAGCAGAAAAGAAACAAAATCTCATGTGAGAGAGGCTAATATTTTAAACAGTGCAATTTATTATGACTTGGTTGATGGAAAAGGTGAGCCAGTGTGTCCAAGATTGCACTAAAGTAAGCATCAATGAAATCTTGAATTGTCAAAAAATAAATCCTCATTGAGTATAAGTTACACTCAATAAGAAATAATGTTTATATTACAAAAGTTTTGTTTTTCCAGTTTCATGGCTTTGCATGTCGTGGCCTTTTAAAGGTGACATGGCAGCAAACCATTTAAAAAAGCAACAAAAAACTGCAAATCACTACAGTTAGAAC